CTCTTCGGGACCGAGATCGGACGCTGCGGCCAGGTCGTCCGCTCCGACCCCAAGGTCTACGCCGGTTCCATCAGCTCCGCTGTCGGTTCCATTATCTACTCCAACTGCATCGTCTCCGACGTCGACCCCTGTCTTGAAGCCTGGTGAGTAAATGAAAAATTGCGAGTCCACTGCTCTGTTGTTGTGGGGACTGACGCTTCATTCTCAGGTCGCTCCCGTTTTGTTATTCCTTCATACGCGGCAACTCTGCTTCCTACGCCGGCTGTTCCGAACTCTGGAGCGACCGCTGACGACGAGGAGACCGAGAACGTTCCCGCGTTGAGGAGGAGGACGGCTCTGGCTGAGGTGGGGTGGCTCCGAGCCGAACTGGAGCAGGAAAGGCGGAAATCGAGGGGGTCGGAGGAGCAGACCTCTATCGCGTCCGAGGCGGCGAGGGCGGCGACCGTCGAACGGGATACGCTGCGGTCCGATCTCGATGCGGAGAGGGCGAAGTCTGCCGATCTTGAGACGCGGGTGGCCAGCTCGTCGGAAGTGATCGGGATACTCTCTTTGGAGCGGGATCAGCATAAGGCCGAGTCCTTGCGGGTATCGGATATGTATCTCCGGTTACATGAAAAGATCAAGGCTGCCCAGGATCATCTCGCCAAGGACAATGCACGCATTGCGACTACGCAAGCGGATAAGAAGCGCAAGTGGCAAGCGAAGATGATCAAGATCCGAGCTCATTTGGCAGGTCGGGAGAAGGAGTCGCCGGTACAGCTTCTTCTGAGCCAGGTGGTGGGGATGCACGAGTGTCTCATGAGGTTGAAAGATGCCTATGGATTGACACCTCCTCCGGAAGTCTTAGAGAAGCTGAAGAGCGATGAAGCCGACTTTAGAGCCCGGCTCGAGAGGATTGACTATCCCGATCTTGCGCCGGACGATCTCAGCCTCCCAAATGATGCTCCTCTGGTGATTCGTGTTGACGCTGCTCTGCCCGTGTACGTGGTAGAGAGGACCGGGGCCGGCCAGACGTCAGTTGCTCCTGAGGCGGCACCGGCCTCGTCTTTGGTGCCTGGCCAAGGCGTGGCGCCTCCCGTGCCGGTCTCCTCGAACCCTGATCCGTCCTCAGGAGGGAGAGGTGGAGCGGCGGAAGCGAACCAGCCCTTTCGCGGCCAATTTGGGACGAACGCGCGAATGCTGAGCCCGGAGGATGCAAGGGACCTCCGTGCTGACGACGCTTAAGTTTGAGCTCTTCCCCCCCACCCCCCCCCCCTTTTTTTTTGGGTTGTAGGCCAAAGTGCCAAGATTCCGATTTAGAAATTCAATAGAAAATTTCATTTCTGTATAATGCGAGATTGGGTTCGGCTTATATGTCAGAAATTGTATGATGAGTGCGAGTAGCTAGCTCGGCTAAAAACACTTATAGGTTGTGTGTTGCGCGATGCAGAAATCTGGCTAAAGACACTTAATAGTTTGTGTGTCTATAGATGCGAGTCGGAACTCGGCTGAAACACTTCTTGGTTTGTGTGTTTGGAGATGCGAGTAAGGACTCGGCTATATATGAGCTCGGAAGCCGGATTTAGAGAAATATATTTTTTTTATTAATAAGAGTTGTGTCCGGGTTGGGCTGCCTACGTACCCTTCCGAAGAAGGGATCAAGCCAGTCGTAGTTCGGTTATTTTTACATTGGTAGGTTTGGATTTTCGAGGTCAGGAGCTGAGTGGCGAGATGTGCCTAGTAGTAGAATCGCTTGAGATTGGCCGCGTTCCATGAGCGCGGGATTGCGTCGCCTGCCATTGTCACGAGCTCGTACACACCGGGTTTGACGATTTTTGCGATGAGGTAGGGGCCTTCCCAGCTGGCTCCGAGCTTGCCCGCGTTTAATTCCGCTGTGTTTTCGAACACTTTTCGCAAAACCAGATCACCTTCTGTGAAGAATCTGCCTTTGACCTTTTTGTTGTAATACTTGGAGGCGAGCTGCTGCTAATTCTGCATGCGAAGCAGAACTGGTCGCGATCCTCCTCGACGAAATCGAGCTCGCTGCGGATCATGTTGCTGTTGAGGTCGGGGTATTGTGTGAGCATCGAGCGGCGGATTGTGGAGAGTCCGACCTCTGAGGGGGCCATTGCTTCCATGCCGTGCGACAGACTGAAGGGAGTTCGTCCTGTTGCGCGCCGAGGTGTGGTTCGATGAGACTACAGGACTCCATCGAGCTCGTCTGTCCAGAGACCCTTTTTTTCTTCTAGTCGTTTTTTGAGGCCGTCCAAGATTGTTTTGTTTGTTGCCTCTGCCTGCCCGTTTCCTTGATGGTACCTCGGGGTAGACTTGCTTAGCCTGATCTTCCATTTTGCACAGAAGTCTTCGAAAATGACCGACGTGAACTGGGCACCGTTATCCGTAACGATCTCGTAGGGCAGACCGTGGCGACAGATGATAAATTTCCATACAAACTTGCGGACGTCCTCGGCGGTGATCAGGGCGTAGGATTCAGCTTCGACCCATTTGGTGAAGTAGTCCGTCATGACGAGGAGGAAACGCTTTTGGCGGGATCTTGGCAGCGGTCCCACGATGTCCATGGCCCAACGCATGAATGGGTAGGGCGGTGATGCCATGGTGAGTAGCTCGGTGGGCGAATGGATCATGGGGCGTTGACGTTGGCATTTCTCGCACCGGGCTGCAAACTTATTGCAGTCCTCGACCATTGTTGGCCAGTAATGTCCTTGGTTACGGATCCGGAGTGCGAGAGTTCGGCCGGTACAGTGGCTTCCTCCAGCGCCTTCGTGCATCTCCTTCATGACGTCGATTGTTTCGTCTCCGTGGAGACAGCTGAGCAGGGCGCCAGTTTCGCTCCACCGAAATAGGTTTCCGTTGGTCTGGAAATACTTGGCGGCTTTCTTCTTTAATCTCCGAGCCGCCCAGCGGTCGTCAGGGACCGTCCCGCTGATGATATATGACAGGATGTCAGCTCGCCAATCTGGTTTGACGGGCTCGGGCGGGGGAGGTGGTAGGTTCTCACCGTCCTGGGCATCCTGCTCTTCGATTGGATCATCGGCGAGGAAATCGTTGATGAGGCAGATCCCCTTCGGGAGCTCTATGCTGGGGGAATAGATGCTCTCAACGGGGATTACTCGGCGCTGAGTCGGATCCGAGGTGGAGGCCAGAGCGGCTAGGGCGTCTGCAGAAGTATTATCCCCTCGGGGAATCTTGGTGAGGTGAAATTCGGAGAACTCGGATGCCAGGTCCTGAACAACCTTGAGATAGGCTTCCATGCGGTCGTTCTTGGCTTCATACTCGCCACTGAATTGGTTTGCGACGAGCTGGGAGTCGCAGTATGCTTGGATCTTCTTGACCCCGATCTCCTTTGCCAGTCGCAGGCCGGCTATCAGGGCCTCGTACTCCGCTTCGTTATTCGATGCCTGGAATGCTAAACGGAATGACTGCTCTAGCACCTCATGGGTCGGTGATTCCAAGCGGATGCTGACGCCAGAGCCATGCTTTGAGGCCGAACCGTCAACATGAAGGCTCCATTTCTCATCGGGTGCTTCGCCGGTTAGCTCGGGAGCGAGCTCGACGAGGAAGTCTGCCAATACTTGAGATTTTGCGGCGGTCCGCCCTCGATAGTCGATATCGTATTCGCTGAATTCTACCGCCCACTTCGCCATCGTTCTCGATTGGCTTGGGCTGTGAAGGATTGTCCGCAGAGGATGTGTGGTTAGGACGGCGACAGTGTGAGATTGGAAGTAGGGGCGGAGCTTCCGGGCTGCTGTTACGACGGCCAACGCCAGTTTCTCCATGGTCGGGTACCTGCTCTCTGCTCCGTCCAGGGATTTAGAAACGTAGAAAACCGGCTTTTGCTCTCCTCGGTCCTCTCGAACGAGGACACCGCTTACAGCCGAGGTGGACATGGCGATGTACAGGTACAAGGTTTCTCCGTCTTCGGGCTTGGCCAGGACGGGCGGAGTTGAGAGGTATTCCTTCAATTGCTGAAACGCCAGCTCGCACTTGTCGTCCCATTCAAACTTTTTGTTTCCTCGGAGTAGTTGATAAAAGGGGAGACATTTATCGGTGGATCGCGAGATAAATCGGTTGAGGGCGGCAATTCTTCCGGTGAAGCGCTGGACTTCGCGGGTGCTTTTTGGTGACTGCAGTTCGAGGACGGCTTGGATTTGCTTCGGGTTTGCCACTATTCTGCGCTGGGTGACCACATAACCGAGAAATTCTCCCGAGGTGACACCAAAGGTGCACTTCGCGGGGTTGAGCTTCATGCCGTACTCGTTCAGAGTTTTGAAACACGTTTTTAGGTGACGGACGTGATCACCCGCCACCATGGATTTGACGAGCATGTCGTCTATGTACACCTCCATTGTGCGTCTGAGCTGGTCGTCGAACATCTTGTTCACGAGGCGCTGATAGGTGGCTCCGGCATTTTTGAGCCCGGACGGCATGACCTTGTAGCAGTATGTTCCGCGGTTCGTGATGAATGTTGTCTTCTCCCTATCGTCGGGGTGCATGAAGATTTGATTGTAGCCAGAGAAAGCGTCCATGAAAGAGAGCAGCTCGTTCCCCGCTGTCGCCTCGACGACCTGGTCGATTCTTGGAAGGGGGAAGCAGTCCTTCGGGCAGGCCTTATTGAGGTCGGTGAAGTCCACGTAGACTCTCCACTTGCCGTTTTTTTTTTTGACCACGACCGGGTTTGCGAGCCAATCCGGATATTTCACCTCGGTGATTTGCCCGGCTGCCGTTAACCTATCCACCTCGTCATTCACGGCTTGAGCGCGCTCGGCGCCTAACTTTCGCCCCTTCTGCTTGATAGGCTGGAAGGTCGGGTCGACATTAAGTTCGGGGCTGCATATGGCCGGGTTGATGCCGGGCATGTCGCTGGTTGACCAGGCGAAGCTCGAGACGTTCTGCTTGAGGAACCCGATGAGCTCGGTCTTGATGCTTTCTTTCAGGTCAGCCCCGATGCCAACGCAGCGGTCGTTGTGATCGGGGTCGATGTTTACTTGGACGATGAGATCTCAGAGAGGGCGATCTGCTTCGCTTGGTTCCCCTGGCAGCTCGGGACCAAGTATGTTGCAGGCAGGAACTCCGTTGTGGCTTATCGTGGCGCACAGCTGGGTGCGGGCAGCATTGCGGAGCTTGTGCTCGATAATGAAGCACGAGCGCGAGATCCTCTGGTCGCTCCGGACTGTGAACGTGCCGGCCTGGTTGGGGAACTTGAGGCACTGGTGGTAGGTCGAGGTGACCGCCTTCATTGAATGCAGCCAAGGAGTTCCAAGGATGATATTGTATATAGCTGGACGGTCGATGACGGTGAATTTGACTATTTTTGTTACCCGACCTACGTAGACCGGCAGCTTGATCGTCCCTATCGATGTGATAGTATCCCCTGCGAAGCCGGTCAGGGGAGTGAGGGTCGGCTTCATCTCGACGCCGTGTAAGTCCATCTTCTTGAGGGCTTCTTTGAAGATGAGATCTACCGAGCTGCCTGTGTCGACAAGTACCCGAGTCACATCGCAGTCTGCTACGCGAATTTGGATGACGAGGGGGTCGTTGTGAGGTTGGTCGACTCCCTCGGCGTCCTCCTCGGAGAACGTTATTCCTTTATCGCTCATGTCCTGAGCGTTGGTTGCTCTGATCTTTGCCACCCACATCTCTGTCGGGGTGGACTTTCGCTCGTGGACTTTGATCAAGCGAACCGAATCGTTGCAGGACAATAGGCCGCCCATGATCATTCCGATCATTTTCCGAGCCGGCGGTGGGGACGCCTGTCTCTGAGGTGCGACCTGCTGTTGCTGTTGTTGATGGACGGGCTGGACTCTATCATTCTCGCGAGAGGGAGAGCGCTGGCGGTGATTATCTTGTTGAGCTCGGTTGTCTTGACGACGCCGGTTATCATTACGACCTCGGCCGCGTGGTTGCTGCTGGAGGACTCTAATTCCCCCCTTTTGGTACTGAGCAAGGAGAGCTTCCTGAAGTTTGCGGCACTGCTCGGTTGAGTGCCCCTTCAGTTGGTGATACTCGCAGAACGCCTGGTTGTCTCTGGTAGCAGGAGCGGCAGCTCGCTCTTGGACGACCTGAGCCGGGGGCGGCGACTGGGCCGGCGGCGGAGCCTCGACGGTGCGATACCATTTGTTTGATGGGAGAGGTTGCTGATAATACTGCTGCGATGAGCTGGGTACGACCATCCCAGGTCGGTTATACTGCGTATCGACTGCACAGTGGGGGCTGTCTACGCGGAAGACGGCTTGAGCTTCTTCGACAGGACACGAGGTCAACGCGTCGCTGATGAGAAAAGTTTCGGCCTGCCTGCGCTGATATTCCTCGTCGTAGTGCTGGCGGGGTTCGTGGTATTCGTCCTGAGCCCTTTCCTTTTGAGGTGGATTTTTCTGGGAAGCGAGCTTCCTAAGACTTGCCTTCTCCTCCTCGATAACCCGGCGCGGTGTAATGCGTCTTCCAGAGTGTGCGGCGCGTTGAGCTTTAGTTCGTCTTTGAAGGCCGAGTCGAAGGGCTGGGATGGCGGACTCGTCCGACACTGAGGCGCGGAAGGCCGTCGCTTTGAAGCGCTCGATGAACGACCGGAGGGACTCTTTCGGTCCCTGGCTCAAGGCCCAGAGATTGGCGGTTGAAGCAGAACGCTGGATAAATATGGAATAATGTTTGAGGAAGGCGGTCGAGAGCACCTTGAAGCTATCGATCGAGTGCGTCTCCAACCTGGAGAACCAAGTCAGGGAGGGGCCGACCAGGTTTTCCACGAAGAGTTGGCAGTGTCCGGCCTCGCGCTCTTCGGGCGTGAAGTGAGCTCGTCCCATGGCGATGGTGAATGCCGTTAGATACTGCGTGGGGTCAGTATCTCCGGCGTAAGGTGGGAGCTTCACTTTGCTGACGTGGCGGAAAGGGGTGGAGGCAATTCGGTGCGTGAACGGTGTGTTTTGCGTCTCCTGCAGGACACGATCTATTTCGGGGGCCGAACTCGTGGCTCGGTGGACCTTGGAGTTCATTTTGCGAATTTTCGCCTCGACGGCCTCGATCTCCGCATCACGGTCTCGCTCTGCGGCCATCTGTCGAAACGCCTCCGGGCTAGAATGCTGAGGGCGCATTTCGGCCGAGCGATTTGCCAACTAGGCGGGTCTCCGACTTGGTCCGGCTGACTCGGTTGGTGAGTCGCCGAAGAGGTTCCTTTGCAAGAGTAGCACTTCTGAGCGGTGGGCTTCCTCGAGGTCGTGCTCGACCGAGGACCTAGGATTCTCTAGTTGGTTTGCGTGGGCTCTGCGCCCTGCCGTGAGCTCGGCGAATCTCCGATCGGTTTGGCGGGTCATTTCGTCCATTCGGTCGAGCAAGGAATGGAGAAGAGGAGCCAGGGCGTGGTCTCCGCTTGCCGGAGTGGTCCTTTCGGCTGGGGCCTGTAGGGTGGCATTTCTCGGACTCGCGGGTAACTCCATTGGCTCCGGGATTTGACGGGGAGCGCTGCTTTCTAGTTCGGACTCCAAGAGGAGCGGCGGTGCTGGTAGCTGCGATGCAGGCACTCTGGTCTCTATTGGTATGGCAGCCTCCTTAGGGTGGACAACCGACGAGGGCGGCGTGAGCGCTGCGGGTGTCGTGGTTGTCGACTTGGCTGTCACTGGTGATGATTTTGACATTCCTGAGGTTGAGGGCGGTGTTCCTGCCATTTCCAAATCTCTCTTGTGCGTGTAGAAAATCTCTAAACCCCCCTCTTTCTAGCGCCAATTGTTGATCCTTGAGATCACTAAGTACATTTAACAGATGATGAGAATGATTAGAGATGATTTCGGGGTGAGATTTTCGTATAATAAGAGTGATTTAGTTAAGGGGGAAGAGAAAGTGTCAGCTCGGAAACGTAAAGGGTGTTTGCAAGGAGATAACAACTGGTGTTTCGAACTAAGTCTGGAGCAGGTCCAGTTCGGTGCTTTTATTATCGTTACAGCGAGCTCGGTAGAGAGACAAGTGTATTAAAGTAGAGAGAGTAATAAATTCTTTTTTCGGATCCCCTCATAAATGATCTATGAAGAGTATTTATAGCAGGAGTTGGGAGACGAGTTTCCTCCAAATCAGGTCGACGTGGCAGCTTCAGCGCATCTCGCGGGTATGGTGTCTCGAGCCGCGCGTCCGAACCACTCCGCGGCATGTGATGATGGTCCTTCGCCGAGCTACTTGCGTGCTTAGGCTACTGTAGACGAACTGCTCTTACACGTGTCAGGTTCTGCTCGGCTTGACGCACTGTAGATCGGCGTCGTAATGATGACGATTTGGCGGGACCATGCTGACCGGGCTCGTTGACTTTGGCTGGGTTTTTGGTTGACTTGGTCTATGGGCTTTATTGTCCAAGATGGGCCTAGCTAATTGGGGGTGCTAAGCCCACCTCCAACAGGTGAGAGACTTACATTACATGATAGATAAATTGTTCTTTCCATCCTCAAGATTCGATTTCCGAATCTCACAAACTTGTCCTAAAACATTCTTACAGACCCAGAGCCGTGCTTAATGAAGAAAAAATAAGACATTTGCCTTGGGCCTCCTTAATATTAAGCAAGTTTTAGGGCTTCCAATTTTTTATATTTTTATTTAGTATATTGGTCAATATGTATGTTTGTGTTATTTTTTGTGGTTGAAAATTTATTATAAATTAAAAAAAAAGCATTAGTAATCTATAATATATTATAAATAATATTTAAATCTAATTTACAACTTATACTCCATTTTATAGATATTATAGCAAAATGAAGTATTTTTTTAGAAATAATTATAGCAAAATGGAAAAAAAAATTTGTCATTTGTCTTAGGCCCCTATCACTCTAAGCAAGGCACTGTACAGACCCTAAATATACTAAGAGTATATATTAATTTTCACGTACAAAAAAGTCATTAAATTCCTTCATAGTCATTTTGTAATATTTGTTATTTCCCAAAACATTTGCTAATCCAATTTTGTACCACGATTTCAAAATAATCTCATGATTTGAACTCAAGTAATAGATTGGAATGAAGTTGGCTTATAGATTTTAGGTTCACGACTGACAAGCAGCGCCAGCTTAAGTGTAAGCTTCAGTGCAAAGGTGAACAGTTCACCTGCCTTGGGGTCTATTGACACAAGAGTGTCCTATTTGTTTTTTTTTTTTTAAAGATTTTCAATAATTTTTTATAAATATATACCAAATAAAAATAACAGTGCAGTATTTGGTTTTCAATTATTTTAAGAATTCTTAAAATTTTTAATACATTCTAACTATTGCTAAAATTTCTAACCCGTTCGTCTGTTAAAATACCATTTTATCCATCTTCTTAATTCACCATGTACCATATACAAATGGACATGATATACTGTATTAGGGGCAAGCTCGAATTTTTTCGGCTTGTACAGTTGTACATACAGTAACCAAAGTCTTTAAAAAATATCGACGTGTCTAAATCCTAGTGAAATTACAAATAAGTGATGATATGGATGCCGAAGTCCCAAAAAATCAGATGAAATTCAGAGATATTTGCATGGTAAGTCACTTTCCCTGACTTTCCTTACCATTTTGACTTTCCCTTTTCCGTTTTGTCTTCAATGAAAATTTTAGCTATGTTTCGTAGGGTTGTTTTGAAAAAAGGACGTTTTTAACTTTTAATTTGAGGAAAGGGAAGTTTTAAGTTTTAATTAGTCGGGGTAGGGACATATTTTCATAATGGCAAACTTACTCTTCTTTCTGAGAGAGAGAGAGAGAGACAGAGCAGTCTGTTCCTAGAGAGAGACAGAGGCAGAAAATACCGTGGGTCCCAGGCGTAGTCTACCTCCGCGCGCGTATCAGCCGGGAAGAGAGTACTCACGCGCATGTTTGGGTCGTTTTTTGGGCCTGATTTCGAATTTAGGAATGAAATTCCCAAAAACCACCTAACTGGACCTCGGTTATGGGCCGAAAACTACCCAAGTAATTACACGAAAAAACTACCCTTCCCATTCCCTTTTTAATTTTAGCGGGAAAAATTGTGGTTAATTAGGGATAATGGAGATAAATTGGTTAAAATAAGAAACAAAGTACCCTAACCAAATTAAAAACCCTAGTTTTCCTTTCCAGAAGATGTTGAAATTGAAGGGGAAATTATGCGATGATCTAGAGGACAACAACCACGGTTAGTTACTTAATCCTATTATTGTACACCCATAGATTTGTCATTGTTATTTTCGATTTTTTTCGGTCTGGTGTTCGCCATTTGCCAGTAGTTTTATAGATATGGTGTTCGCGAATTGCAGTGGATGCGTTCATTCTTGTTATGGCGGGAACGTGGATAAAGTACTATACAGGAGAATGGGATTTCAAAATGGACATATCTCGTCGTGGCAGGTGCATAAATTGCAAAGATGTGTCCGGACCAGATGATTTGAGAAATCTGATTGCGCATGAGTTCGGATTAGACACAAGAGTTGTTTCGGTGGAGATTTCCTACTGGTTTGATGATGTTCTAGCTGAGCTTAATGGTGATGGGAGTTGTCCATGTGTAATAGTTACTCCTCGAGAGTACAAATTCTTCCTTTCGCTGCATAAGGCTGACAAGTCTGTGAATTTATTTGTCACATTCAAGGAGTCAGTAAATGGTAAAATGGTGAGATTGAAACGGAAAGAAAGTCTTGAAGTTCAAATTGCGAGGGAACGGCGAAAGTCCTTAGGGCCAACAAACTTCATAGCCTCTTCTTCGGCAGAGTCTAGTCAACCCGATGATGAAGCAGATGATGAAGATATCGATGATTGTTTGCTGATAGCACGTGCGAGTCAGCTACCTGCGATTGTTCTCTCCGAATATAATATTACAGCCTCGTACTGGAAATGCTGGAAAGCTAAGGAGCTGGCTATATACTCTGCTCACGGAACAGAGGAGACTTCTTTCAAATTATTACCGATTTACCTCCATGTGCTCAAGTATGCTAACCCCGGCACCATAACGCATTTGATAACCGAGAGCGAGAGAGATGAAAAAGAAGGAAAATGTATTACCAGGTTTAAGTCTGTATTTATGGCATTGACTGCGTGTATATCTGGATGGAAACATTTGAAACAAGTAGTTGTTGTTGATGGGACTCACTTCACTGGTAAGTATAAGGGTTGTCTATTTACGGCCAGTGGACAAGATGCTAATTACCAGGTATTTCCAATAGCGTTCGCCGTTGTTGATGCAGAGTCTGACAAGACGTGGATGTGGTTCTTTGAGAAGTTGTTAGAAATAATTCCAGATTCCTCTGATCTTACTATTATCTCGGATAGGCACGGTGGAATTGCCAAAGCTAAAAAGAAATGGTATCCACAGTCACACCACGGTGCATGTCTTGTCCATATCCAGAGAAATGTTCACGGTAAATACAAAGGTTCCGGTCAGAAAGGGTTGGTCGGAAAGGCTGGAGAAGCGTTCACAGATTCTAATTTAAGGAAACTATACGCAAGGCTGAAGGATGTTGATTATGGTTGTTGGGAGTACATGGAAAAAATCCCTCTTGCGCTGTGGACTAGATCACACTTTTCTGGTCAGAGGTATAATATGACCTCCAGTAACATTGCAGAGTCTCTGAACAATGCACTATTAGCTCCAAGAGACAGTCCAATCGTTGCAATGCTAGAATTTATCAGGCGAATGTTAAGTAGGTGGCTTGAATGCAGAAGAGAGACCATTCAAAAGATGGATGGTGACATTACAGAAGAGGTTGACAAGTTAATGAACCTGCAGCAGCAAAAATCTGATGCACTTTCGGTTCAAGGCATTTCTTTGTGGGAGGTTGAAGTGAGTTCTGAGTTCGGTGTACGGAGACTTGTTGATCTCCTAAACAAAACATGCTCATGTCTAGAGTTTCAGACATTGAAATAACCTTGCCGACATGCAATGGCCGCGGCTAGGCTTCGCCAAGTGGAGTACAGCAGTTTGGTTGATCCAATTCTTAAGAAATCAATTTGGAGTGCAACAGTTTGTGGCAAAATCCTACCAGTGCCCGACCCTGACGACATTCGTATCCCAGCAGAGGTGTGTGACCTTAATATTATGCCACCTAAGGCAAAACGTCCATCAGGAAGGCCTATGACGAAGAGAAAACTTTCAGCAGGAGAGTATCCTCAGG